TAGTGAATAAATTCAGTTTGGGTTAACAGCTTAGTTAAAATTAATTGCCATGCTTTGATTAGTTAGCTTGAATGATTAGTTTAATATTAGGACTGGTTTAGACTTAGCTTAATTTTTCAGCTCATGTTAAACACTTAACCATAGTTATTTGACTAAGGTAAGAAGGATAGGGGTTAGTTTGACTAGACTTAGTAATTTCATACTAGTAAAAGGGTAGTTCAGGGAATTTCATTCAGGGAATCTAGTAATAACTGAAATAAAACTACCTAGAAGCTTCTAGATGGGGGTCCTTGGTAAAATATCATGAATTAAGTGTACTAACTTGAGAAACAAGTCAGTAAGCTAGGGACTAGTTAGTTAAAAACTGAAAAATAAAGAAGGACTGAAAAGAAACTAGAAAATTAAGGGCTGCCCTCCCTTATGCCTATAAAAGGGAGTTTTCTTTGCCTTAAGCCACAAGTTTGGAGCCTCTGAAAATCCCCCTCCCAAAAGGGTTCTCCATTTTTTTCAGATCTGAAAACTGACATTCAAAATTCAAAAAACAAAAACAATAGAAAACCTTCAAAAATCCAAAAAAAAAGGGCTGTTTCATTAGAGATTTTAGGCTAATTTCAATTTTTAATTAGTGATTCTCATCTTCTAGTCCAATACTCGATCGCTGAAGTTTTCTTTGAAGTACACTACTTAATTTGGAGCAGTTTTGGTCTATTGAAACTGGTTTTGGTGAAGTTCTGGTTTGCTGAAGGTTTTAAGTGGTGCTGGGTTCACTTTTGGGTCATTTAAGTGCTATTTTGGTAGATCTGCTGTTTGTGCTTGGTTTACTAAAACCTTTCTGGGCTACTGAAAATTTTCTGGATTGCATTCGATCTCTACTCGTGGTTATTACTGATTCCTGCTGCTGTGCCTGTTGTTTGCTCCTGCTGATCTTTATTTTTTCCTTGTATTGCAATCTCCAGGTACACATTTGTACACTCCGGGCTTTTTTGAAATGAAATTGAGGCTGAACCTCTACTATGGATTTGCAATCTTAGTAGCTATCTCACGTTGAGATAGAATTTTGTGATTTAATAGTTTGCTCATTGTAATCAATCTGTAATAACTTGGGACTGTTAAATAGTGGACTGTTAAACTAATTAGACGTATTCCTGTAAGTATGAGAAATCTGTAGTTAGCAGCTTAATTTGGTTGAGTTTGTGTGATACCTGTTTAGTTGAGAGTTATTTCGATTTCAACAAAAGAAAAAATCAAATATAGTTGAATTTGCATTTGATGATGAAAACTAGTTTGATTTCAAGCTGAACATGTGTTATGCTACAGTAATTCGTATCTTTGTTAATATGTAGGTGTTAACAATTTTAGGATAATGGCTCAAATCAGTAGTCTACTTGAGTTAAGTAATGCATCATCAGCTGGACTGATCTGAATTAGTTAACCTGTTCTTGAGTATTCTTAGAGTCTGTTATATCTGATACGCGGGCCCAGGACATTTGAGCCTCAAGATATCTGATATGCGGGCAGGTCCAGTGTTAACTTCCTTCACGTTTGGACTTGGGCCAAGGCCCAATGGGTGGCTTTGGTACAGAATTATCCTTCGGTTTACCTTAGTTCGATAAAAAATTATTTAGGATTTTTCTTGTGTTATTAGAGACAAATAAAAATAGAAAACTATAGTTGAAAATAGGCGAGATAAATGAAAAATGCAGAAAGTGAATTTTATAATCTGAGATTAAAGTACTACCTAATTGCAAAACCAGGAAGTTGGTACTGGATCGATTGGGGCTGTTTGAAGTTATATTTAAGCGTGATTTCACGCTTCTGCCCAGGCTTGACCCTTGAGCCGTGTTCCCAAGTTGTTGAACATGCCACCTGGGCCTGAAATAATCAACCCTAGGATTGGGCTTTATTTTAAATACAATGTGTTAGAAGTTTGCAGTTCTTTTCTTTTTTTTTTAAGTTTAAATACAAACTTGGGCCTTTGGGTTAGGTAGCGGGTCCAAATTAAAAGGCTTGCCCTTTTGTTTGAATTCGGACTTGAACTCAAGGCCCGAAATTCATAATATTAATCAATTAGGACTTTTTCTTTATTACTAGAGACAAACAAATATAGAAAATCATAGCCACTTTAGAATTGGCCTTTAAAATAAAAGTGGGACGAGCCTCGCCAAATAAAAATGCACAAATTGCGGGGCCCTCATTAAACGCTCTATAAAAAATATTTTAGAAATTCGGGACATGCCATTTAGCGAATTTTCATGACTTCCCGCAAAGTTAATAAGACGCTAGCCACTTAGGCGCGCTTTTAATAATTTTACCTTCTTAAATACGGGTGCACATCTATGTGACCCAAATCCAAATCCCAAAACGTTGAATAAGAGGTGTCGAGGATCCGGGTGCATTTCATGTGACGTGATCCAAAAACACGCTCTTAAACGGCGTCCACTTTCATAAAAAGCTAATTAAAAGCGGTTAATCAATTTTAAAATTGTACTATAGGATGACATAAATAAAATCAGATTTTAGCCAAATATAGCAGTTGAGTGACCGTGCTAGAACCATGGAACTCGGGAGTGCCTAACCCTTTCTCCTGGGTTAACAGAATTCCTTACTCGGACTTCTGGTTCGCGACTGCTAAACAGAGTCCAACCCCTTTCCTCGATTCGGGATTCAAACCGGTGACTTGGGACACCATAAATCTCCCAAGTGGCGACTCTGAACTTCTTAATAAACGAATCCCGTTTCGATTGTCCTTTAATTGGAAAAACTCCCTTTATTATATCCCTTCACGGGGTGTAGTAAGCGAAAAAGGAGGTGTGACATTCATCATATCTTATTATGTATATTCAAAGGATTTATAATCCTTTATTTAAAGGTATCCCTAGAAGTACTTGTAGAGCTGATATTTTTAGATTGCATGGTCAATATCAAACATACATACGTTATTTATTTGAACACCTTCCCTGTAGAGTTTTTCTAACTTCTGATATTGGCCATGCTGTTAATGGAAATGATTATTTGATAATTACATGTCATCGGATAGATGACTTATTTTGTATGCAAAAACGTATTATCGCTTTTAAATATGATGAAGATCAGAGTCATACTACTGTGTTTATAAGTAGTACTATTAATGAAGTTGTTCAATTTTATAATCTTAACCAAAAAGTATTGTGTATATCTTTTGATAATGCTTCTAACAATACTGCCGCAATTTCATTATTAAAAATGCATTTGCAACCGCCACTTGAAGAAATTTTTCATGTTAGGTGTGCATGTCATATTTATAATTTAATTGTTAAAAGTGGCCTTGATTTATTTTCAAAGGAGATTATTCATGTTAGAAGAGCAGTTGGTGTTATTCAAGAAAATAATAGACAATCTAGAATTAGGGAATTTAAGAATAAGTGTACCGAGTATAACCTTAAACCAAGATTCATGCCAGACGAAATTGTTGCTAGGTGGAATTATACTTACATATTTTTAAAATGTTGCACAAATATAGATTTCCAATAACTGAAGTTGCAAATGCGCATTGTACTGATAGAAACCGTATGTTAACACCTGCTACTTGGGAAGTCATTAATGATGTTATTCAATTTTTACATAAATTTTATATAGCTACTGAGCATACTACCCTACTGTTATAATGGTTTTAGTACATATAGCTGAAATTGCTTTTCTACTCTTTGAATTTAAGAAGAAAGAAAAATATAAGGCTGTTGTTGAAGAAATGCAAGACAAATTCAAAAAATATTTCCTTCCAACTCCTCAGATTTACTTAATTGGCTCTGTTTTAAATCCTTCTATTAAGATGGCTGATTGTCACCAATTAATCAATGCTTTATATACTTACATGGAGATTGGAGCAACTGAAACCCCAGATATTTTTACTTGTATGAACAATCTAAATGATAATTTACAAATATTATATAATTATTATGCAAATATAGTTGATGTTGTTGCTCTTAATGTAGCCAATGTTCCCACTATGCAGTGTACCACTTTTTCAAGTTCTACTACTTTGCATGATGATGAAATAGTTGATAGTTTTAATATTTTTTCTACATTTGCTACAACTCAAACCAGTAGCAGAAACATTGATGAACTTCAATTCTACTTGCAGAAGCAAAAGGAGATTCGCACAAAGGAATTTTCTGCGTTGGGATGGTGGCGTGACAATGAAAAGCAATTTCCTGTTCTTTCCGCTATGGCTCGGGACCTGCTGAATGTGGCAATTTCAACTGTTGCATCAGAGAGTGCATTTAGTCAAGCAAGACAACAACTAGGAGACACCCGTCACTCATTGGGAAGCAATGCTTTGGAAGTTTTAGTATGTTTCAGAGATTGGATTAGATCGGAACGAAGAAATCAAGGGCGTGAAGATGTTGATAGCCCAGAAGACGAGGAACTTGGAGATATATTAACACATGGTAACCCATCTGAATTTAACACTCTAGAAGAAGGACAGTCAATTCATATTGATTATGAAGAACTTACAAGGGCAATGCAAAACCTTTGAATTTAGTACTTGTCAAATTTAGTACTTGGTTGTAACTTGCAAGAGTTGAATTTTGAAATTTGAAAAATTGAAATACATGTTGCACTTGCAATTTATAAGTGCAATTTTTTTCATAATCATTGTTATCTTTATATATTTTACTTTATATTTTATATCAATTACAATACGTGTACAAAAACTTTTTTTAAAAAATTGAAATACCTGTAACCCGGCCCGCCCCGCCCCGTAAACCCCTACCCGTACGGGTTACTTTTTATCCGGATAAACCCGAACCCATTAAACCCGTTAACAATTAACCGAAACCAGCCCGTACCCCCAACCCGTCTGGTTAAAAAAAAAAAAGTCTACCCGGCTAGGCCCGGCCCACCCGTTAGACACCTTTACACCAACATAACCTTGTCCACGTATCTTGGATGGACTTAGTGAATGTTTCAAAAGCAAAGAATAAATCTCTTTTTTGTAGATGTGTCACTCACATGGACAATATCCAAGAATCGTTCTATAACCATTCCCCTTTTGTTGACATATCTCAAAATTACAGTCATTTGCTCGTTATATGAGGCGTCTTTTAATTCATCAACTAATATTCCAAAAAAATCACCACCCGGGTCTTCAATGATAGCTTGTTGTTTCTTTAGCACAAGCTTCCACAATCTCTTCCTGAATTGTCGGACAAATCATCATATCATTTAGTGGAGCATGACGTAATATTACTTTTCCCAAATCCGGATGCCTATCTCCATGCCATTCCAAAAGTTCAAGAAAAAGGGCATTTATATTCAGGAATCTTCACTTTCATCATGTCCACGAAATGGAAATCCCGATCTTAAGAGAAATATTGCCACATCTATCGAGGCTTTTAAGCGCATACAATAATCACTTTTTACTTTTTCTCTTTGCTTGTCAAAAGAAGAAAGAATTGATTGATGTTGATTTATCAAATCTTGCATCTTATTAAAACACTTGTGATGGATACTATTCACTTCACCAACATGTGCATTGAGTCATTCCACACCTTTGTTCTAACCCCTAAAACCGTCTTTTGTAAATGCATCTCCCCCATTACCACGACTTTCGCGTTCGTTCTTGAATAAATAACAACACAAACAAAATGCAACATCTGCTTTTATGTTATACTCCAGCCATTGCGAATATGGTCCGTTGAACCAAGTGGAATTAAATTGAAGCATTTTGTTCCCAAACTTAGTTTGAGGGGAGACATGGCCTATCGGTTTACAAGGCCCTATTTGAATATAATTTATTCTCACTTTATCTCGAATATTACGACCACAATTCGAAATAGGCAATCTTTCTTTGGATCCACTTCAAGAGATTCCAAATCAAGCACATTATCCACTATCAAAAGTGGGGAAGGATGTGTCTCCCTTTGAACTTCTGGATTTAACTGTGAATTCGCAGATGGCCGAGAAACACAAGAACTTAGTTGGCCATCATTTAGCTTGGAGAAGTTTATCCATTTCAATGTTAGGATTGCCTTTCCTACAAAATCAAATTTTCACAATTCTATTCAATCGGAATCCAAATAAAATTATTAAAGTACAAATCAATCATAATCATAATAACAAAAATCACAAGTTTGCAATTAGAAGAATTACAAGTTATAACTTATAAGTATTAGACAATTATTTGGGAATTAGGAAATTACTGTCATTTTTTAAGAAGTGCAGTAGCAAGCCATCAATAGTTTCAGTACTTTTAAAATAAAAAATTCAAGCAAATATGAATAGAGTAACATTGACAAGAAAATGTCACCCTTAATTAAAGCTCCTAAGTCTATGAGATTAAATAGATTTCCTCTGTTTTCAAATAAAAACTTAATGCTTTGACCAAAATTGGTCAAGTTACTAGAAAATCTGATGCACATGATTCTCAATTTTCAATAGTCTGATGTATGTCAAAAATAAATGGCAAAATATTTGACATTACTCTAAGAAGCTAGAAGAAGTGAAGAGCAATACCAATTTTGAAGAACTGAAGACGACAATTGACTTAAATCTTCTCAATGCCGATTATAACACTTCCTCTGTGCTTGACTGTCAAAATAAATTTAAACATTCAAATAATCAATAAATATTCCTGATGGTGTCCATCTCGTTCAAAATCCAGAGTAATAGGCATGTGCCTAAGGGAAGTTTGTTTGATTTGGTAGCCAACCTTGTTGAATTGGTTTGGTTTGGTAGCCAACCTTGTTGAAATTGTAAAAAGTGTGTGCAAATTGTCAAATATTGTAGGCTTTAGAGAGTGAGGTTTTGGCTATAAAGGGAGAGCTTTAACTCTCATTTATACACACCAACAAAAGAGAGAAAGAAAGAGTGAGGCTTCACAGACAGAGTATAAGAAAATAGTATGTGAGAAAAATAGAGAGTGAGCGATATTGTAGTGAGGTGGGAATATCAAAAGAGGGTTATTTCTTTTGAGTGTTGTAGTAGTCTTTGGAGTATTTTACTCGGACCTACAACGTGTAAAATTCCTTTCTATAGTGATATCGGTTGCTCCTCTCGAGGCCGTATTTTTTCCCTTATTCAAAAGAGTTTTCCACATAAAATCTTGGTGTCGTTGTTACTCTTTTATTCATGTTAATTATCGTATCTCGGTGCTACATTATTATTTTGCTTTTATTACCGTGAATATTATTTCTGTAGGGGGTTTATTCCAAACAACTGGTATCAGAGCACAAGTTCTGCTCGTTCACAAAAATACTATTCACTCTCGGTAGTACTATACTCGGTGAAAAATAAAAATGTCTGGAGTAAAGTACGAGGTAGCAAAATTCAACGGAGATAACGGTTTCTCAACATGGCAAAGAAGGATGAGGGATCTGCTCATCCAACAAGGATTACACAAGGTACTAGATACTGATGCTAAAAAACCTGATACCGTGAAAGCTGAGGATTGGGCTGACTTGGTTGAAAGGGCTACCAGTGCAATCAGGTTGTACTTATCAGATGATGTGGTAAATAACATCATTGATGAAGACACCGCTTGTGGCATTTGGACAAGATTGGAAAGCCTATACATGTCTAAAACGCTGACAAATAAATTGTACCTGAAGAAGCAGTTATACGCCCTACACATGGGTGAAGGTGCGAATTTTTTGTCCATTTAAATGTATTTAATGGACTAATCACACAGCTCGCCAACCTCAGAGTGAAAATCGAGGAAGAAGATAAAGTGATCTTGCTATTGAACTCTTTGCCATCTTCGTACGATAATTTGGCAACAACCATCCTACACGGTAAGACTACCATTGAGTTGAAAGATGTCACATCGGCTCTTTTACTCAATGAGAAGATTAGAAAGAAGCCTGAAAATCAAGGACAAGCTCTCATCACAGAAGGTAGAGGCAGGAGTTATCAAAGGAGTTCGAGCAACTATGGTAGATCTGGAGCTCGTGGGAAATCTAAGAACCGATCTGAATCAAGAGTCAGAAATTGCTACAATTGTGATCAACCAGGCCAGTTCAAAAGAGATTGCCCAAATCCAAGGCAAAGGTGAAAGCAATGGCCAGAAGAATGACGACAACACAACTGCCGTGGTGCAAAACAATGATACTGTTGTCCTCTATATAAATTAGGAAGAGGAATGCATGCACATGTCAGGTCCAGAATCGGAATGGGTGGTTGATACAGCATCATCTTACCATGCCACACCGGTAAGAGAAGTTTTTTGCAGATATGTAGCAGGTGATTTTGGAACTGTGAGAATGGGTAACACGAGTTACTCAAAGATTGCGGGGATTGGTGACATTTGTATCTAGACAAATGTCGGATGCACATTGGTTCTAAAGGACGTGCGCCATGTACCTGATTTGCGGATGAATTTGATCTTAGGAATTACTTTAGACCGAGATGGATACGAGAACTATTTTGCAAATCAAAAGTGGAGACTCACCATCCTTGGTGATTGCAAAGGGAGTTGCTCATGGTATGTTGTACAGGACAAATGCAGAAATATGCCAAGGTGAATTGAACGCGGCACAAGATGAGATTTCTGTAGATTTATGGCACAAAAGAATGGGTCATATGAGCGAGAAGGGATTGCATATTCTTGCCAAGAAATCACTCATTTCTTATGCCAAAGGTACAACAGTAAAACCTTGTGACTGCTGTTTAATTGGTAAGCAGCATAGAGTCTCATTTCAGACATTGTCTGAAAGAAAATTGAATATACTTGATTTAATTCTGATGTTTGTGGTCCAATGGAAATTGAATCGATGGGCGATAACAAATATTTTGTTACTTTTATTGATGATGCTTCACGTAAATTGTGGGTTTATATCCTGAAAACCAAAGATCATGTGTTTCAAGTTTTCTTGAAGTTTCATGCTCTGGTGGAAAGGGATATGGGTAGAAATTTAAGGCGTCTCCGAAGTGACAATGGACGTGAGTACACTTCTAGGGAATTTGAAGATTACTGTTCAAGTCACGGGATCAGACATGAAAAGACAGTTCCTGGAACCCCACAGCACAATGGCGTAACTGAAAGGATGAACCGCACCATTGTGGAGAAGGTGAGAAACATGCTCAGAATGGCTAAAGTGCCTAAGTCATTCTGGGGTGAAGCAGTTCAGACAACCTGTTACCTGATCAATAGGAGTCCATCAGTTCCGTTGGCATTTGACATCCCAAAGAGATTTTGGACCAACAAGGAGGTGTCCTACTCACACCTGAAGGTGTTCGATTGCAGAGCTTTTGCACATGTATCAAAGGAGCAGAGAACAAAGATGGATGATAAATATGTTCCCTGCACATTCATTGGATATGGAGATGAAGAGTTCGGATACAGATTGTGGGATCCTGTAAAGAAGAAGGTCATCAGAAGTAGAGATGTACTCTTCCGAGAAAGTGAAGTTGGAACTGCTGATGATATGATAGAGAAGGCCAAGAATGGTATAATTCCTAACCTTGTTACCATTCTTTCTTTTTCTAACTATCCCACAAGTGCAAAAAGTACGACCGAGGATGTTTCCGAGTAGGGGGAGCAACCTGATAAGGTTATTGAGCAGGGGGAGCAACTTGATGATGGTGTCGAGCCAGTGGAGCACCCCATTCAGGAAGAAGAACAACCTCAATCTCTGAGGAGATCAGAAAGGCCAAGGGTAGAGTCATGCAGGTACCCTTCTATAGAGTATGTCCTCATCAGTGATGAAGGGGAGCCATAAAGTCTTAGCTGTCCCATCCAGAAAAAAACCAGTGGATGAAAGCCATGCAAGAAGAGATGGAATCTCTACAGAAAAATGGCACTACAAGCTGGTTGAACTTCCAAAGGGTAAAAGACCACTCAAATGCAAATGGGTCTTCAAACTCAAGAAAGATGGAAATGGAAGAGCTGGTCAGATACAAAGTTCGATTGGTGGTTAAAGGCTTCGAACAAAAGAAATGTATTGATTTTGATGAAATCTTCTCACCTGTTGTCCAAATGACTTCTATTCGAACAATTTTGAGCTTAGCAGCTAGCCTAGATCTTGAAGTGGAGCAGTTGGATGTGAAGACTGCATTTCTTCATGTAGATTTGGAAGAGGAGCTTTTTATGGAGCAGCCAGAAGGATTTGAAGTAGCTGGAAAGAAACACATGGTGTGCAAATTGAATAGGAGTCTTTATGGGTGAAAGCAGGCACCAAGGCAGTGGTACATAAAGTTTGACTCATTCATTAAAAGTCAAACATACATAAAGACCTATTCTGATCCATGTGTATACTTCAAAAGATTTTCTGAGAATAACTTTATTATATTGTTGTTGTATGTGGATGAGATGTTAATTGTAGGAAAAGATAAGGGACTGATCGCAAAGTTGAAGGGTGATCTGTCCAAGTCATTTGATATGAAGGACTTGGGCCCAACACAACAAATTCTAGGGATGAAGATAGTTCGAGAGCGAACAAGCAGAAAGTTGTGGCTATCTCAGGAGAAGTATATTGAACGTGTACTGGAACGCTTCAACATGAAAAGTGCTAAGCCAGTCAACACACCTCTTGCTGGTCATCTAAAGTTGAGCAAGAAGATGTGTCCTACAACAGTGGAGGAGAAATAGAACATGGCTAGAGTTCCTTATTCTTCAGCAGTCGTAAGCTTGATGTATGCAATAGTATGCACCAGACCTGATATGCTTATGCTACTAGCAGATTCCTTGAAAATCCTAGAAAGGAATATTGGGAAGCATTCAAGTGGATACTCAGGTACCTAAGAGGTACTGTAGGAGATTGCTTATGTTTTGGAGGATCTGATCCAATCTTGAAGGGCTACACTGATGCTGATATGGCAAGTGATCTTGATAATCGTAAATCTACTACGGGATACCTATTCACATTTTCAGGGGGGAGTTATCTCATGGCAGTCGAAGTTGCAGAAGTGTGTTGCACTCTCTACAACTGAAGCGGGGTATATTACCACTACTGAAGCTGGCAAGGAGATAGTATGGCTCAAGCGGTTTCTTCAAGAGCTAGAATTGCATCAAAAGGAGTATGTCGTCTATTGTGACAGTCAAAGTGCAATAGACTTGAGCAAGAACTCCATGTACCATGTAAGAACAAAGCATATAGATGTGAGATATTACTGGATTCGTGAACAGGTGGAGAACGAATCTTTACAGGTCAAAATGATTCACACGAGTGAAAATCCTGCTGATATGTTGACCAAGGTGGTACCAAGAGACAAGTTTGAGCTATGCAAAGACCTTGTCGGCATGCACTCAAACTAGAAGACGATGCTACCTCCTCTAGATGAATGAGACTGGAGGGGGAGATTGATGGTGTCCATCTCATTCAAAAGCCAAAGTAATAGGCATGTGCCTAAGGAAAGTTTCTTTGGTTTGGTAGCCAACCTTGTTGAAATTGTGAAAAGTGTGTGCAAATTGTCAAATATTGTAGGCTTTAGAGAGTGAGGTTTTGGCTATAAAAGGAGAGCTTCAACTCTCATTTCTACACACCAACAAAAGAGAGAAAGAAAGAGTGAGGCTTCACAGACAGAGTATAAGAAAATAGTCTGTGAGGAAAATAGGGAGTGAGCGATATTGTAGTGAGGTGGGAATATCAAAAGAGGGTTATATCTTTTGAGTGTTGTAGTAGTCTTTAGAGTATTTTACTCGGACCTACAAAGTATAAAATTCCTTGCTATAGTGATATCGGTTGCTCCTCTCGGGGCCGTATTTTTTCCCTTATTCAAAAGGGATTTTCACGTAAAATCTTGGTGTCATTGTTACTCTTTTATTCTTCTTAATTACCGTATCTCGGTGCTACGTTATTATTCCACTTTTATT